GGGATGAGCTCATTCTTCTCGTTAGGCACCACGGTCATCTCACCCTTTTTGGGTACCACCTGGGTGGGACTGACCCACTTACTGTCGGAAATACTGAAGATGATCCCCGCGTCCATCAGCTTCACGATCTCCGCCCGAACCACATCCTCCAGGTTCGGTGTCAGTCTTCTCTGCGGCTGTCTCACTGGCCGCATCTCATCCTCCAGCAGTATCCGGTGGGATCAGAAGGAGGGGGTGATCCCCCGGATATCTGTGATCTTACATGCTAGGGCTCGCTCGTGCAGCTTCAACAAGGCCACCAGTCTGTCCTTCTTCTCGGTTGTGAGGGTCGAGTTGATGATGATTGGCAGCTTATTCCCCTCCCGGAGAAATGCATACTCCAAATGAGGAGGGAGGGGCTTTAGCTCCAGCTCTGGTGGTTCCTCCAAGGAGGTAGTGATGCGGGGTGAGGATGAGATCGGTTTGAACAGCCTGTCACCCTCCAGGAACGGGCCACTCTCCAGCGCGGCCAACTGCTCCACCAGCTGCGGCTTCTGCGATGCCTGCTCACCTAGCAAAATACAACGCTCAAGAGCATGGTCAGTACCCGCACTCGTTATAGCAAGTGCGGTCTCAAAATCAGCAAGCACATCACAGTAATCTACATCATCATGCAAATGAGAGTGTTTTCCATTCTCAGACACAAAAAAAGTAGCTTGTTCATCACCAGCACGCAGGATTAATTTACCACTATGCACATCAATAAGCGCCTTGGCGGTAGCGAGAAACGGTCTACCCAAAATCAAACGTACATCCACATCCTCATTTATATCCAGAATAACAGTCAACAGGATATGCGAATGCACCTACATTAACAAGCAGATCCTCAATGATACCACTAGGATGGACAATGGAACGGTCAGCTAACTGAATGCTCATCCTAGTAGCTCTAGGTTCACCTAGGTCTAGATTTTTAAACAATTTGTAGGGCATAACATTTATGCTAGCGCCTAGGTCCGCCAAGGACTTTCCTACATGCATGCTGCCAATAACAAGAGGGATAGTGAAACTCCCTGGGTCTTTACGCTTCTCAGGCAGCTTGTTCTGCAGGATAGCAGAACACTCCTCGCTCAGCATCACTGTCGAAAGATCCCCAAGTTTCTTCTTGTTGGTGAGGAGGTCTTTCATGAACTTGGCGTACTTGGGCATCTTCGACAGTGCCTCCACGAACGGCATGCTAATGTTGACCTGCTTCAACATTGCCATGAACTTGGCAAACTCAGTCTCCAACTTGTCTTTATGTAGGCGGGTGGGGAAAGAAAGCTGGGGTACATGCTCCTTAACCACTGACTGTGGCTTGGGAGCATGTGCTTCTTTATCCATCCCCATTTCTGCATTGTCAGCTAGAAGTGTTGAAGCAGGTAGTGGCTCGTCTGGCCTGGGCTGGGCAGGAGCAGCAGATGTGGTCTTGCCACTCCTGGTAGTGATGGCATCCAGCTGTTGGTGCTGGTGAGGCTCACGAGGGTTCGGAATGGTGGTGGCAGGTAGAGTCCCCAGTGCCCAGGTAGTATTTTGGCGAGCTATGCCACCAATCTGATTCTGTAGATCTTGCAAAATGGCACATTGGTTCCTCTGGCCTGCCTCCAGTGAGGCTATGTTCTGGTCCATCCTCGTGAAATTTGCCTGGCTGGTGGTCATGAATGCCTGCAAAATATTTTTCAACTCCGTCATCTGATTATCTGGAGCTGCTATTGCTGGAGGCTAGACATACTGACGCTGGGGCTGCTGGAATGGCTGCCCCTGCCTAGGCTGGTAAGGCTGCTGCTATGGAACTGGCCCCTGTCTAGCCTGGAAAGGCTACCTCTGTTGAAAACCACCGCTGGTGCTGGGAAACCAGGGGGTTTATTGGTGTTGCTATTCCAAGCAAAGTTGGGATGCTGGCGCCACCCCTCATTGTATGTATTGTTGTATGGGTCAAGGCGCCGAGCATTGGCGATGAAGTCCAACTGCTCTTGGGGAGTAGAAGACTCCCGCATAGCCTGGCAGTCTTCCACCAGATGGTTCGAGCTCTCACACCACTGACATTGAGCTACTGGAGGTACAACCAAACCTCTGCCCGGAATAAGACTGTTGGGCTGCTTCAATGTCTGCACTAACTCAGCCACCTCCCGCTCTAGCCCAGACCTGACCTCCATGGCGTGCACACCTCGATCTCGGGAATTCCTGCCTCTGGTGCTCTGTCCCGAGGAATGATCTCTGGCAGCCAAGGTACTGATCATCTGGTTCAATTCGGGTGGACTCTTAGTAAGAATATCCCCTCCTGGGCATAGAGACTCAATCACCCTCTAGCTTTCCGGAGAGAGAGAGCACTGTAGAAGTTCCCCACGGTGAATGCATCACTGAAGCCATGATGGGGACACTGCCAGAAAAATCCCGAGTACCGCTCACATGCATCATGAAGTGACTCATCTGGCTCTTGGCGGAAGTGAGTGATCTCTCGCTGGATCTCTGTGGTCTTCGATGACGGATAGTACCTGTGACGAACTTGTCAGCCAGATCGTCCCAAGAAGTGATGGACAATGGGGGCTGGGTCTCCAACCACCTCTTAGCATGCCCCGTTAGAGAATGGGGGAAGAGGTGAAGGCGGATCGCATCTTGAACCCGTTCATCTTGAACCCGTTCGTCAGCTGTAGGAAACGGGAAAGATGCACCATTGCCTCCTCATCCTTCAAGCCATGAAACTGGATAGAGGATGTAATGAGCTGAATCCAACATGGCTTGATCTCGAAGTTGTTCGCTGGAATAGGTGGATAGAGGATAACCGGGCGGATATCAGCGACCCGTGGAGTATAGTAGTACTCCAAGGTGGGACCCGACGGCGGTGGGTGATGATGAACCCCATCTGCCTGGGGTATGGGGTTGTTCCCCAAGATCTGATTCACCGGGGGAACCTGGAGAGGTATCCCCTGGGGCGGGTTGTGTTCACCTTGCATATCGTACTCTTCCTCGGAATCGCTGCTCAAGTGGCCGTCTATGCGCTCCGCCGTAGCCAGTCTAGCTCGCTGTTGTCTCCTAAGTTGGCGACAGGTGCGTTCAAGCTCCGGATCCAACGACAGTAAACCTCCTGACTGGCTACGGGTCATGCACTACCTGCACACAGTCAAGCAGCAAACCCGTGAAGGCACAAGTGTGACAAAGAAAACAATGCTAAAAAGAAAAGCTAAATTAACAGAAATCATGTTTCTTCAACAACCTAGCCGTCCCCGGCAACGGCGCCAAAACTTGACTCGCTCCTACCGTCACTCTAGAAAATGGCCAAGTGTAACCACCTCCTAAAGCGTAGTATAGCGGGTTTGGGTTTTAATGTCAATCCGGGTCCTAAGTGTGATGACTACTCCATGAGTTCTTATTATTTAGCAGTGAAAGTGTAGTGAAGGTCCAAACAAGCAAAGTAGGTAAAAAGGTTGTTTTCAAGTCGAGAGAGGTCACCCGGATATGGTTCCCCCTAGACTGCAGTTAAGCCGGATTGGAATTTACCAAGTTCAATTCCAATGATAGTTATACTGCGGGAGGTTCTTAAACAGTCTGAAGTCTCGACTAAAGGTCTCCAGACCCTCTCAATCTGAGTCCCCAGCGGGCGACTAACCTCCACCGGAGTAAAACGATTGAGGCCTTAACGAACCAAACCTCCACTACCGAAGTAAATTCGGTACATAATAGTGAATTGACTCCTCGACTAAAGTCGTCAATTCACTACCTTCAATCAAGGATGCTCTATCAACCTAGGCAGATGTTCTCATTCTAGGTCAAAGCAGAAATAACAGGAATTTGATCAGGATTCATGTCATTCAACAATTCAAACCTCAATTGAATATAATCAACTCATAAAATCTGTACTTGGGTTCATACAATCAGACCTAACATACAAATCTAGAGTTCTTCATACCCAGGTGAATAAGAAAGTTACTCCATAGAGAGAGATGAGAATTCTAGCTCAGATGCCGAAACCATACTGTGAAGGATGATAATCTGCTTCTGGCACTCAATCAACTCTTCTCCAAACTCAAGTCGGGCTCCAATGGTGGTGGAGATCGATCAAGGACACTTGCAGAATCAGGTTCGTCACTTTCTCTCTCTAGGTAGCGCTTTTTCTCTCTAAAACTCGGAACCCTTCACTTTTTCCCTTCTTTTCCCTTAAGAAGCTGTTTGTCGCGATCCCCGGTCTGAATACCCGGTCGGGTATTTCGGGTGGCGACCGGGTATATTCAAAACGCACCGTCGGGGAACAGGGGAAAATCCCCAGTCAAGGCCAAGAATCCCTGACCGGGGATTTAAGCCTCACGACCGGACCCCATTATGCTTCTCAACGTCCAAAACGTGAATTCCCCGGTCTCCTCCAAATAATACCCGCCCGGGTATTTCTGCCCATGGCCGGGATTCCAACGATTCCAACGTCAAGCCCTGAAATATGACATAAACGCACAATCTCGCGTGAAATCGGTTTAAAACACGAGAATCGACATCTTAAACGGCTTAAAAATAGGGGTAAGAACATGTTCAATCAATGGTCTATCAACGAGGCGGGTACCCCAAATCCGAACCCGCTCCAACCCACTCAACCAGCCACCGGGTTTCATTGCCGGCAAAGTCTTCACTTTCACTTCCTCCTCAGTAATTAAAGAAAATAAAGTTCGTCCGACATTTCAGATTCCCAGGCCAATCAGCTCAGCTGAGCCCACAAAAAAAAAAAAAAAAACGCCGACCCGCTTTGCATTCCCTCCATCCTCCGTCTTCTGTTTCTTTCTCGCAGTGCTCCGGAGCCCGGAGGAGGAGAAACAGAGCTCTGGTAAAAGTCGAAAATTGAGCAAGGGAAACGAAGAAAGAGAAAAGCCCTCTCCTTCTTCTTTTCCCTACCCCCTAGCTTTTCGTCTGTTCTCTCTTTCGGAGGGTGATCATGGCTTCTTCGTTCAACTCATTCCGCCTACAGTAGCACAAGAAAAAGTACGTAACTTTGACCTTTCACCTTTCTCCCTTCTCTATTCTTCTTCTTGATAATGTCGCCTCCCACCTTCATTCGTGTTACCTCTGCATGTGCGGATTTCACATTGTGAATGGCTGCTACCAAACACTGCAACTTCTCCTTTATGGGTTTGGGGGTTTTTTTTTTCACTTCGTTCCTCCCCTATGGAATAAACAGTTTTTAGGGTGTCTTCGGTATCCTTTCATCTTTCCCCCGTCAAAAACTGTGAGGATAGGTTGATGAAACAAAGGGTTTTGTGGGAGGGAACAGAATGGAATCTCTGGAAAGGAATTCTGTGGCAGATGCGAGGTCGAAGAGGCGAGTGCTGAGAAGGCTCCAGGCTAATTCAAGACGTAAGATTTATCCATCCAAGAATGGCAATAACGGAGGCAGCTCCTCTGCCAAAACTCGAACAAGAAGTAGGGGAAATTTGCCTACCAAGAGTACTACTAATGACCATCATTATCCTCCAGATCATGATTATGCCACCTTTTTGGATGCCTTGGGTCTACGCCTTCCAACAGCAGCTAATTCTGCCGACGGAGTGAGTGCTAATCGTGCCCCTGATAGTGAAGCCGCCATAGGCTGTGTGGATTCTGGTCTAAAGGAGGACATTGACATTGACCTTTTCAGATTATTGGCTGAGATTGGTGGTGGCAGCAGCATTAGAACAGAGGACAATGGTGTGGGCAACAATGAGGATCCAGGCGCTAACAGTGGATGTGACATGTCTATGGATCGTCGCAATGATGCTGCTGGGTATGCAGACGACTCTTTTCTCGGGGCATGCTGCTCCAATGATAAAAATGGGTTGAGTCGGAAGGATGATACTGGTGCTGAGACTACTGATACTGGTTTCGATGACAAGTCAGTAGATAGCTTTCATGTTGATTCTGAGTTTGTTGAAGAACCCGATGACATTGGAGGCTCTGCGAATGATGATAATGTTGTTGATAGGTCTTTTGACAATGCACCTGCTGCCGAAGAAGTCGCAGACCATTGGAACAATGTGCATTTCGATCTGCCAGATCGAGATCAAACTGCTGCTGATGATATCATTGGAGCTTCTGATCCTGCATATCTTAGGTTCTTAGAGAACCTGAGAGAAGATGGGAATTCATACAATATTGAGCTCCCTGTGAGCAGTGGAGAGTCACTATCTTTTGTTTATGAAAAGCAAGATGATTCTCATGGTCAATGTGACGCCACTGAGACAAGAAAGAATTCTGTACAGAGGAAGAATGGAGAACCTGAAATTTGTTTAGGGAAAGGGTGCAATGAAACTCGCGATCAATGTGATGCTGGCAAGGCAAGACAGACGTCTTCACAGAGTAAGAATGGGGAATCTGAGATTTGTCTAGGGAAAGATTGCAATGAAACTCAAGGTCATTGCCAGATAAGAGATGAAGCAGGTACTGAATGTGATCTGAGAGTTCCTAGTGGGAGCAACAAGAGTTCATTGACGGGGAGGAAGTTCTCTTATAAAACTAAAAATGGGTTACGCAGTGGATTTAGAAGAGAAGGGAAGTCCCAAATGGAAGAGCTTTTGAAGAGAGAGAGCAAAAAGAAAGTGGACGAACGATGTGATCCAACTGTTGCTTCTGGCAGAGATAGGAGGAGCTGTTCACCCATGAAACCAAGGATCGAAGATGAGACAGGAGATGCACCAGAAAGTGCATGTAAGGTAGAAGCTCCAATGCCAGCCAAGACAGGAGACACTAGAACGGGAAAAGTTATGGCACCCAGTTTGGTGAGAGATAGAGCAACTAAAACTATACCTTGCCGAAGTGAACTGAAAATGAAATCTCAGAAGGATGTGAGCGACATGCAGAATAGGAAAAGGAGACGTTTGATTTCTGAAGAAACACAGAGAAAAGAGTCCTTGAATCCTGTTCTCTGTGAAGAACCTGCAAAAACTAAAACGCCTTCAAACAAAAATCTACAGTGCAGACCTAAAGTAGAGTTGGATGACATGCAGGATAGGAAAAGAAGACATTTCATTTCTGAAGAAACACAGAGAAAAGAGTCCATGAATCCTGTTCCCTGTGAAGAACCTTCAGCAACTAAAAAGCCTTCAAACAAAAATCAACAGTGCAGACCTAAAGTAGAGCGGGATGACATGAAGGATAGGAAAAGAAGACGTTTGATTTCTGAAGAAACACAGAGAAAAGAGTCCTTGAATCCTGTTTCCCGTGAAGAACCTGCAACAACTAAAATGCCTTCAAACAAAAACCAAAAGTGCAGACCTGAACTAGATGGGGATCAAATTGACAAATGCTATGAGATATTTCTCCGTTCTCTGAAGAAGAAGCCAACGAATGTTGAATTTGTCCCTTCAGTTGGCGAAAAAGTGCTATATCACGACTATCCCCTCAGCTGTCCCACTAGCCCATCTGATTCAGATATATTGGAGATTGATGCTGCCACCTTTGCTAATGATGTCAACACTCCGTTCGTGCCAGCAAAGAACCATGAAGTCATTGTAATTGATTCCTCTCCCCACCCTCATTATTGTTGTGTGCTTTTTTATTATTATTCTACTGGTGTTTTTTTTTTAAAGATTGCTTCTTTATTTGTTGGCTGTGTTTTCAAATGAAGGATCTTGATTTGGAGCCTGAAGAAGGCCATGGTGGGAATCACTACAACTCTGTGTTCAGAGTGAAGCTTCTTGAGAATTTAAGAAAGCCTTACGACCAGAGAGAGTACAATGAGTTGTTGAAAGAAGTGTCTTGCAGGAAGCAATTGGTGAAAGATAGAGAACTCCGGCATGGACGAACAGTGAAGATAAAACTGAAAGCTGTTGGGCAATCTTACCTTGATAAATATACAGGTATGCCCCTCTGCTGTGCTACAAATTTGAAGCTTGACATTTTGTTGCAGCAATTTATACCCCCCCCCCCCCCCCCCCCCCCATTTTTTTTTCTTCAGTAATCCGTGATTCTGTCATTAGTTATGGAGTCCTTCCAGGGTGATAACTTGTTAATATGGTGGTATTGTAGATTTTGCAAGAAAGCTTCAGGAGATAAAGCCTGATTCGGAGTGCAATCACCCCGTAATGTTGAACTTGCTACGTGGGTTTGTCTATTGGTTGGAGGTTGGTGCTTCTTTTCTTCTTGAACATATAATTGGTCTTAAGCTTACTCATATAGTGGTTGTAATAACTGTATCTAATACTATTCCAAGAGAGTCGACATAGTTGTGGGACTACATCATATCATCACTACACGCTCTCACTAGTATTCTTTGTTGCCCTAGTTGACAATCTCTCTAATAAACCTCTTAAATCTAGAGTTTGTGGAACTTGCTTGCTTACTTGACTATGATTTTTGGTGTTTTGCTTCTTTCCTGTTATAATTTTACTTGTCTGTTTTTTTACTTGTAACAGGGCTATATATATTTCTTCTTTCTTTTTTGTCTGCAGAATTTACCCCTTCATGGATCTTTCAAGCCATGGCTGGACGAGGCATGTTTGAAAGTGCTGCCAAGTTGCAAGCGAGTTCCCTGTGATTAGAGTGTTCAGACATTTCCTTGCAAAGGGGGAATCGAGACAGGTCAGCTTTTGGGTTAGATGACTAACTAACTATTTAAAAGACTCATGTTGGCGGCAAACAAACTTTGTAACATATGTATTGTATAATATATTGCCTGGTCTAACTCCATAGTTCGTTGCCATCACTGTACATCTGGACTACTCCCCTTGTCAGCGTCGTTGAATACGATCCTGGGTTTCCCCATGCTGAAGTTGAGCGTCTTTGCTCTCTATGTTGTATTTGATCTCTCCATCGTACAGCAGCTTCCTTATGTAGTGCTCAATGTCTGAACCGATTAATCGAAGTGTGTATTCTGTCAACGGTGCTCCCTGGTTTCAACACAGAATTGTCAGAAACTTGTTCGATGGTAAAGACAGATTGATAGACATTTTAATTATTTGGGGTTTATGTCGGTTTGAATTATTTAGTTCAGGATTATTTTGGCTATTGGGGATATTGTGGGGGATTAATAATTTGGGGTAGTTAGTAGGTAATTGTGTTTTTGGGTATTTAGACTATTGTCTACGTAGAGAATGGTAAGCAAGAATTAAACCTAAAACTACCTCTCTCTCTCCTCTCTTTCCCTCTGACCGCCGAAGCCCCTTTTTCCCTCTCAAGCTGCCGCTCGGCAGCAGCCTTTCCTCTCTTCTTCTCATCCCCAAGTCTCCCAAATCTCTCTCTCAATCTCCCTAAACCCTGGGTCAATCCCTAGTTGATCCCCGATCCCCAATTGTTCGGTAGAGCTCAAACCGGAGCTCTATCATTTGGTATCAGAGCCCGGTTCTTGGGTTCGATCACAAACAAAGAACGAAGGGTGCAATGGTGTCGACAAAGTTGATGACAGCGGCAGAGAAGGCTGCCAAGGCAGCGCAGGAGCAGGCCTCGATCAGTCGATCACGGACTCGACCGGGCTGCCGGGGGCTGGCGGCGGCAACTAGGGGGCCTCCGATCCCCGGGACGGCGAGCTGGTGGACGAGACTGAAAAGTTGGAGCGGATCCAGACCACCTTGGATCGCCTGGTAGCCGAGTTCGAGAAGGAGCGCAAGGAATGGCGGGCTCTCCGGCAAGAACAAGGCGAACAGCGGCGGGGACAGGAGGAGGAGTCCCGGCGAGTTTGGAAGCGGTTTGATGAGGTGCAGCGGGTCGTGGAGGCACTGGTCGCCGCGCGCGCCACCGGGCCGGGGACTAGCAGCGGCGGCGGCGATGGGGGCGCGGAGAGGAGCGCAGCGGCAGCGGCGGGTGGCGCGCTTGATGGAGCGATGGTGGTGGCGGAGGCGCCGCCCCCAGAGGCGGCTGTCGAGGTCGTCGAGGCGGCGGAGGTGGTGCCCGGCGAGCGGGTGGGCCAGGGTCAGCCAGGGCGCATCGGTGGGCCTGGGCTTCTACCGACACCAACGGCCCAGGAATTGGCGGCCCGCAAGGGCAAGGCCAAGATGCCAGGGTACGACAGCGGGCCCCCGCCGACTGGGCAGGGCCCGCCTAGGCCAATGGGCCGGAGTGACACCGTGGGCCGGTATCACGAGCCCAGAGGACTGGGGTGGCTGACCATGGATCACGAGCGGATCGAGGAGGAGCTCAGTCTGGTGGGCCAGAACGCGCCATGGGCCGACCTGGCGAGTGGCGAAGACTACTTGGGCCCGGACGTGGCAGGGGCCCAAGCCGGGCGAGTTGGGCCAGGCCAGGAGGGCCGGTTTGGGCCGGGCCAGGAGGGCCGGGTTGGGCAGGGTGGATCTGGGCTGGGTCGAGGAGGCGGCTCGGCCGGGTGGACCGACCGGGGGCTGGCCGGTCCGGGCCGAGGCGGGTCGGGTCGGGGTGAACCCGAACCGGGTCGAACTGGAAGTGGGCCGAACCGGGTCGAACCGGGACTGGTTAGATCGGGCAGCATGGACCCGAATATGTGGCGAGGGTCGAATGGTGCAGGGAATTGGGCGGGTCCGATGGGGCGAGGTTCCGCAGGCAGCTTTGGGCGAGGAAGGGGGACTCCGTTCTACCCAGACCAGCTAGGGGGTGCTCCTGGTATAGGGTCGAATCAAAAGAGAATGGGTGACAAGGAGAAGCTTGTGGCTGCTTGGTACTCGTAGTCAACAACGATGAAGAGCGGTAAGATAAAGAGCAGGTCGAAGGGATTGAGCGACGAAGAAGTTATGGGTTTATGGATGCTAATCGCTGACAGTCGTCGACGACGAAAAGCCGCATTACAGATGGTCGGTTGAAGGAAAAGAGCGATAAAGAGAAGAAGTTTCTAACTGAGAATCATGATTTGCGATTCCAAAATCGAGGGAAGGACTGATAGGCAAATCGAGAGTAGTTTGAGATGGATTCATTTTAGGGAATGCTACACGTAACTATAGAATTTTACTAGTTTTGTAGTTTCATATTATGAATATGTGTTGTTCACCATATTATTAAAAGCATGGTTCAAAAGCTTAACCTTACAATTAAGCACGCCTATGCGCAAAGCAATGGCAAAATGCCTCGTCTAGGGGTTTTGCGGCTAGTTAGATACTGTGACACATCAATGGAGTAGGGAGACATCTAAGTCTCTCGTAAACATAACTACATGGAGCTAGGAAGCCAATATTAAAGGAGGAAACTAACGTCAACTACGAAATTAATTTTCTATATCAATAATTTCAATAGCTCATGAACTTTGTGAGCTATTGAGTTATGATTCTCTGAATTGGTGAGCTATGATCTTGTCATCAAGTGTTGAGTAAGTTATTAATCATTTTAGCTTAAGTGAGGAAGTACTGTAGATTATATTTCATTCATCATAGAATGCGAATAGATATTTATCTTCCAACGCCTAAGCACGCTTAGTCTACGCGTAGACGAGCTAGGCAAATCTCAACCGCCATCTTACGCCTAGCGACTTCTTTACCCTTAATTAAAAGTACAAATTTTATTTTCGTATAATGGATTTGATTTTTATCCAAATCTACCCAAATCATGGCTCAAGAAACCAGTAGGGTCTTAAAATCAATGGATAGATTTGCGTTTACCATCATTTAACCCGAGATTCATTGGTTGGGTGGTTAAAAACGGCCAAACGGGCAAAACCAACCCAACAACCCACATACACCTCTACTTCTAGGAAAGGCAAAGTATACGTTAGGTAACTAGTTAGATATAGCTCTATCAGTTCATTACATTCTAACATACACAGTTAATTTTACAATTGGGCAACAACCTATAGTAATTCTAACATCCTCTATACCTTTGACCCTAACATCCTTACCTAAAACAGAACTCCAAAAACCAAAACAACGAAAGATCCCCATATGAAATTAGGGATCAGTTGATCTAGCTAAGGACCCTACCCTAATCAAAACCGAGGAAAAGTGACAACAAAAACAAAACTGAGGAAAAGTGACTCCTACCATTATGAGGGAAGTGGTGCCTTGATGACTACTACCAAGAACGAAGACAACGGAAGAGGAATCTGCACTACCTGATTCATTCCCGAGGCATCACTTTCCTCATAATGGTAGTAGTCATCCGATGTTCAATATTCGGGCTGGCTTAATTAGCTCATCCAGATTACTTGCGTCCAAGTCCTCCAGGTCCTCCCCATCATCACTCCAGTTCAGTTTCTTATCATCATCATCATCTCTTCGGTATTTGCTGTATTCTTCTCCAGCTGCTTCCTCATCATCACTGAAACCAAGGCTAATAAAGTCGGGACCTGCATCTCTGATTTCTCTCAAGTGCCTCCGGACAACAGAAATTCCAGACCCCAAAGCAGCGCTGACACGTGTCGTCGAACCAAAGTATCGCCCATGTCCAAATTGGTTCTTCTCCCGTGATCTTCTTTTGGGTTTCTTTCCTTTGACACGGTTCTTTGGGTGGTGAAGCTTACACTTGGATCCCTGGGGACAAGTTCCTTTTGCTTCGTAGCTTGGGCAGACGTAGCTATGCTTCTTCCGACACTGTGTACGACATTTCATGTTGCAGAAATCCAAAAGCAAAAGAGAAAAGATACAAGCAATTGATGAGTGAAACATATGAACCCTGATTCATGGAGATGGCAAATATCAAGCTAACCCACGCACTTAAAAGCCATCTAACCCCAACACATTTTATCGAAATCCAATTGGTTGGTAGGTAAATGAGTATGGTTGATGTGATGTGTTTTTGCAGAACTGGGAAGCTCACTGTAACAACAACTTTCTTTCAGCTTCTAAAGCAGAGGAATTCAGGGCTACGCTAAACCATTAAGTACCTAAAGATTCATGCATATATCATAGTACCTAACTTTCAGAATTTTGCCGACTGGTCCAGCATTTAAATCTAACTTTTCTTTCTTCACAGAATACTGAGGTAGCCTTCTCTAACAATTTACAAACTAATCCTCCTATCATTTACATTTTAACCCATAAAACTTAAAACTTAAACCGACATGCCTTAAACTTGGCAACAATCCTCCAAACCACATCAAGTTTCCAAGGAATTCCTGCAACCCATTTAAACATAATCCACCAACCTCACTAATTTGCCGCCTCTTGTTCCGTGTCAATATGGAAGGCAAAAGTCAAAACCATAGCATAGCACGACAGGCAGGAAATTTTGTTATCTTCATTGAAGACATTGCACCACAGTCCACAAGTTCACCAACTATTATCAGTGTACCAGATATATTTCATGGGGTTTAAAATACCACACACGATTACATTATGAGGAAGCAATCAACATTTGTCAGTGAAGTTACGGTACAGAATAGTTACCTCATTTCCGTCAGCACAATATCCTTTAAGAAATCCCTCGCACGTAGAGGCACTTCGGTTGACATTCACATGCCTATATGGGCAACTTTTGTTTGTGCAAAGACCTGCCAAACTAATTGGTTTAGAACTATGGCATTCTTTCTCATCAACGATAGTATGCAAAGCAGAACAGAAGCAAAGTGCAGCACCTTGCAAAAAGTAGGAGCAATCGGGCATCCTTTCCGGAATGACCTGTTCAATTAAAATACAATCAAACCGCAAAACTTCGAATGTCAAGTAACACAACTAATACAAATGAGTCATCTGAATCAGATATTATAACAAACCTTGTGAGTCAATTTGCAGTCAGCATTGGAACATAAGCCATTGATAAACTTAGTGCACACTGCAATTTTGGAGGGATCATGAATGTATGGACATTTCCCATCATCATCTTTGTTGCACTTGCCAAATCTTGTGAAGAACTGACAGTACTTCCGCTTCTTAGCAAGCCTTGACCTAGCAGTGTGCAAACTCCATCTAACTTTTTCACTCGCAAGGATGCGACTTCGCTTCTTGGGGTTTCTAATGAGTTTATTTCCAATGCCGATCCGGAAATATCTGTCAATATTCAATAATTTGATTATCTCATATATACTCTAGAACACCATGCATAGATATCATCAACTCAATATATAAGGAATTATAAAGCAAACGAAAGTAGGACATACTCATCTTTTGCTATCATTAATCGTTTTGGGACGTATGGTTTCTTGGCCTCCTTCTCTGTTTGTGGTGCAA